TTACATAGAAAATGTTAACTTCATTTTTGCAATGATTATTTCACATATATTCATTTACTTTATTTCTGCTTTTAGAAATAGAATGTCATCTTCCATTTTTAGAAGCAAACGTAGATGCTCATCCAAAGCAAGAAAAATACAAAGTTGGAGATGTGCTGAAATTTTTCTGCAGACAAAGACTTAAAAGAATTGGACCGGATTCAGTTCAATGCTACCAATTCGGATGGTCACCTAATTTTCCAACATGCAAAGGTCAATGTTTATTTTAGGATTGATGAAATAAGAATTAGATTTTTATATTAAATCCGTGTATTTTATTGGCTTTTGTATTTATAATCTGACAAACTGCAAAAAATGCAGAAGGAGGAGGGGTGATAGACCATAGTAATTGAGTTGCACAGCTTGTTTAAATTATTTTTGTCAAGGGGTAATTCTACCTCATGTTGTGAAATATATGAAGGGGTTTTAAAGATAAAAATACTGTAGCTGAGGTTAAGAAGTGCTAGTGTTTTTTCTCCTTAGTCTTGTTAAAAATATAATTTAAAAAATATTGCATGGTCCTTGTTACGTTTTTATTAAGAGAATAATCAAATCATTGTAAAAATGGTTTACTAGATATAAAACAGTGACAATTTGTGGCTTGCTTCAGATGACATTATTTTCATCAAGTTTTTGATCAAATTATTTTAAGTGTTTATGCTGCTATTTAGTCACTAAGTCGTGTCCGACTCTCTGCGACCCCTTGGACTGTAGCCCACCAGCCTCCTGTGTTCATGGGATTCCCCAGGCAGGAATGCTGGAGGGGGTTGTCATTTCCTTCTCCAGGGGAATCTTCCTGACCCAGAGATCAAACCCACGTCTCCTGCCTGGCAGGCAAATTCTTTACCACTGAGCCACCTGGAAGCCCAGGTGTTTATAAATATTATGTCATAAATTATATGTGTATATTATACCACATACCTGATATTTATTTACGTAATAACCTGGTTCTATAATAAATAACTTGCAATATATTGGGATTTGAGGACAACCAGGATATTTGGATATAAAAAGAATATAAGATTATACTAAAAATTATTGCTAGTTTGAAGAAGTGTAATAAGATATTTTATAAATGTAAGTAAATGTCCTTATTTCTTATATAGGGATTCTGAAGAATTTAGAAGTAAAATCTCACTGTTTATCATTTATTTTAAATTACTTCACAAACAATCACAGCAAACTGTGCAAAATGTAACATTTCTATATCTAGGTGATCAGTATCTGTTTTCATTATGCATTTTTTTCCTTTAATTTGTTCAGAATTATTCTTACTAAAAAGTCAAAATTTGAGAAAGAGAATAGTCAGTACCCTATATACAGTGTAAAAAGAAACCTGCAAAAAATAAGAATGTAGTATAAATGTAATTTAGTTCTGGATCAAACAAAATCAAACTGCATAATTTGCAATATTTAAGACTATTTGAGCATTATTTACATGGTTTATTTTGTGTTAGGGCAAGTGAGATCATGTGGTCAACCTCCTCAACTGCCCAATGGAAAAATGAGACACAAAAACCAAGAAAAATACGAACACAATGAAATGGTGGAGTATGATTGCAACCCTAATTTTGTAATGAAGGGGCCTAAGAAAATACAATGTATGGATGGAGAATGGACAACTTTGCCCACGTGTGTTGGTAAATAGATACTCATTTTTAAACAGGACAGTTACTTTTACTTTGTCTGTATGTATAAATACATATGTAAAAAGATAAAATATTTTAAAGGTAAGCATATTTTTCACGACATTTTCTTAGAACCGGGGAAAGCATGTAGATTTATACCTCAGCTTGAGAATGGCTATAGCCAGCCCTCTGTCCCTCCCTATCGACATGGAGTTTCAGTGGTGTTAAGTTGCAGAAGTTCATATACAATGATTGGAAATACTACAATTGCATGTATTGATGGAATATGGACCGAGCTTCCTAAGTGTGTTGGTGAGTATATGTTTCTCCATTTTACATTTGATTGTATATAACTTTTTAAAATCAATAAATATATTTATACCAGCACATGCTGGTGCCCACCAGATATTAAATTATTAGGACATAAGACACTTAATGCTTGCTCTTAATAACTCTTAATGGTTAAGGATTTCCTTTGATCTATGAATGCTGTGCGAAATGACTGAGACACTTAGTATCTGTGTTTCAAGAACATATACAACCTCTGCTTTAGATGAATCCCAGGCTGTTTTTTCCAGCTATCTTCTGCTCCCTCATCCCACCTTCACCACATGATGAAGCTATGCAGACGGATTGTTTTTTAAGCTTCTAGAAAGCCATGCTTTCCTTTTTTTTTTTTAAAGAAAACAACAGAGTACCTTGAAACTAAAGCAGTACAGCTGGCATACAGGGGTTGGCACTGAGCGGACAGGTAAGAACAGTTACTGAGCGGCGAAGGCAAGGAGTCGGGAGATGGTGGAGCCGAAGAGGACTGGCTGAATAAAGGACAGTGGATCTGTACAGTGGGACACTGTCTTACATAAACCAGGGTAGAACTTTACAGTGTGACTAAACAATATAACCATAGATATAAGGGTACGTAAGTCCCTTACATATGAACCAGTTGCAAACTTTCAAAGCCGTGTTTTCTGAAAACTCTGTGCTTCTCTTCCCTCTTTACTCTTTTCCTGAAATGTCTTTCTCCATTTTAATCACATGTAAAACTATTCACCTTCAAGACTCAACTCAAAATTCTCTCACCTGTGAAACCTTTCCTGATTCATTTTCATCTACCCACAGGCTTATCCTGAAACTGCGGTAGAATGATAGAGCTTCCTCACTGTGCTATCTGCCTGTACATTTATTATGTAGCATTTATTCCATGTCTTGTACCTAAGACACTTGGGCTCAGAATAGCTGAGCCCATGGGCATGGACCCAATGCCTAATTCAGAGCCTTGGTAACCACTTCAGTTTGTGTAGATTTAAAACATTTTAAGATTATGTGTCAGTAACTCTTTTGCAATAGCTTTTCATTGGCATTGCAAAGGCTTCTCCTCTAGGGCGTGGTCCATGTGGTGCCAGCCTTCTTTCTTATATCACACCCCTGCACCCTCCTTTCTATTAGTTTAGGCTTTCTAAGAGACATAGGGAGTCTGTAAAGCTTTACTTGACCTTTTAGCTGAATACATCAATCTGTGCATTCAGGTCTTATGTTAAGCTTCTACATATGTTTTATAGGTTTCTCACTAATATCATTTTCTGCATTAGTTTCTTCCCCAGTCTCTCTGAGGTTTTATTGGTAAAGAGGGCCTTTTATTACCTTATATATTTGAAGCATTATACTTTTGTATGCAAGATAACACCAGAATTTTTAATGTCAATTTTGTTTTTAGCAACCTTGCTTAATTCCCTTATTACTTCCCAGAATAAATTTGGATGTCTTAATTTCTATAAATGGGCTTCCAAGGTGGTGCTAGTGGTAAAGAATTCGAATGCCAGTGACTTAAGAGATACCAGTTCAATCCCTGGGTCAGGATGATCCCCTGGAGAAGGAAATGGCAACCCACTCCAGTATTCTTCCTGGGAAATCCCATGGAATTTCCCAATCAGCAGCATCACTTGGAGTACATTTAAAGTAGGAATTAGCGGAGAAAAAGGACTTAGCAGAGAAGCAGCAGAACCTTCCGTGTCTCATTATTCTGTCCTTTGACACACGAAGGGGAAGGTCCCATAGCGATCTATGTATTTGTGGACAAAAGCAGTGGAAGTGTAATACTACAAACCACCTCCACAAGCAAGAGACCTTTTGGAAGTGCGTGTTTTGAGGGTCCATAGGGGAGGCCTGGCATGCTGCAGTCCATGGGGTTGAAAAGAGTCAGACACAACTTGATGACTGAACAACAACCAAGTGTTATATCAGAGAAGTTCTCCCCGGCACATGCTCTGACTTACTGACTCTGGGTCTTTGCTAAGCTTCTGAAATGTGGGAATAATTGAACCTCAAGGAACATCCAGATTTATCTCTCTTTATTAATACGACACTGCTATAGACTTATTCATGCATCACTTCTTTTTATAACTTGAATGCCTTGAAAATATTTCTTCAACATGATATGGTGGGTACCTTTTCTTGCCTTTAAGCATGAGGCTGAATGTAGCTACATAAGGACTGACCTTCAGTCAAACCCCTGGACCTAAGCAACCCATCTTGCACTATCATTTCCCAAAAGACTTTCTGATCCATTTTTTTGTCGTTCAAACACAGGCTATAGTTTTTTGCTTTCTTTTACTTTTTTTGACAGCACAGCCTACCTCATGCAATGATATGAAGAATAATTTCATAGGATGATACTTAAATGTATCAAGTATAATTTAATGATACCATAAATATTTCAGATATTTTATTGAAACGTTGCTTAGTTTCTGTTTAATAGTCTTATTGTGTATGGATATCTTCCTTTTTAATAGCAACAAACCAACTTAAGAGGTGTGAAAAACCAAGGTTTTATGTAAGAGGACAGTTAAGTTCGTATATGTATGAATTTAATCACAATGCCAGAGTAAGTTACAAATGTGCTGGGAAGAGTACATACATACAAACAGTCTGCATCAACGGGAAGTGGGACCCTGAACCGGACTGCTTAGGTAAGATTGGTTTGAAAGATTTTGCAGATCCTTTGCTTCTTCACCAGAAAAATGCTCTTGAAAATTAACATGCTTTTAAATTAAATTATTTACTGTGATACATAATCATAAAATTGGAAGGTAAAGTTAGAAACTGCTCATAACCATGGACAGAGGAGCCTGGCAGGTGCTTAGAGAAGGTAACTGGTGGCCAATTTTTCTAAATACCAATATTATACTCATTAATGATTACAGAATAAAGAAAATTTGAAATGTAGGACAGACTAAGAGAATTTACCACTTAAAGACTCCTTTTGAAAGAGATCATATCAAATATACATGATGGAATACTAACTCCTAATGAAAGAGTGTAATGGCTGGGACTTACCTAGGGGTGCAGTGGTTAAGACTTTGCTTTCCAATGCTGGGGATATGGGTTCCAAACCCAGTCCAGGGTCTAAGATCCCACATGCTTCAGGGCCAAGAAAACATAAAACAGAAGCAATATTGTAACAAATTCAATAAAAACCTAAAAACTTTCTGGGTATGATGGCATTAGAAATTGTGAAGGAGAAAAATATTTGAATATATAATTAAATTTAAATAATGATTTTAAGAAGATAAGTTAACTATAATTTGTCTAAAACAACTAAAATTTTTCATTTTTGTCAAATATTTTATTTTTCAACATATTTTTATTTTCTTATATTAGGAAGTGAATATTGTTCTGAGAGTTTCAAGAACTTGTTATATGCCTGTGGAATGTTTACTTAAATTTACCAGATATAGTTGACTGTTACATTCCCAGTGTTAAGACCCTATAGATCACTTTCATAACCACAAAGAAGTAATATTTAAAAGTAATAATGAAATTGACCTCCTCATCTTTCATTTTGTGAAATAATTCACTTCCAAATAACCTAATGGAATAATATTTACAATACTAAGAAGTGTATTATAATTATAAAATGTACAGTAAAACCTATGAGATGCACAATAACCAAAATTTAGAGTGACATTCAGAGCCTTAAATGCATATTTTTTAGGAAAAAATAAACTTGTGTGTGTATACATTAAATAAATATATAGCTAGGGGAAAACATACATTTCAGATATGAAGAAGAGAAAGAAATAATAAAAGTATAGGCAGAAGGAAAAAATAGAATATTTTACTTACANAAAAAAAAAAGAATAGGTGGTCAAGGGAAGCCTTGGCTGGTTCTGTCATTACTGTTGCTATTTAAATATTTTTTTCTGTTCTAACTTGTTTGAATCACATGCACATAATTTTTTTGAATCATGTGGGTTAGCTGGAAAAATAATTAAAAGGGTTAATTTGAAAAATTATACAAGAGTACTGACAGCATAATGAGTAGGAGATAGAAAGAGGCACCTGAGAAATTTTGAATAAATTATTATAACACAGATGTGCTTTTTAAACCAAAAACTATGTTAACATAAAATACGGGTATTACTATAGCACAGGATATGTTGTTGTTTAGGTGCTAAGTCGTGTTTGACTCTTTGCAACCCCATGGACTGTAACCCATCGGGCTCCTCTGTCCATGGGATTTTCCAGGCAAGAATACTGGAGTGTGTTGCCATACCCTCCCAGGGGATCTTCCCAACCCACGGATTGAACCTGAATCTCATTCATTGACAGGCGGATTCTTTACCACTGAGCCACCAGAAAGCCCAGCATTGTGTACATTATATGTATATGCATATATATATGTATGTGTATGTGTATATATATGTATGCAGAGAAAAAGAGAGAGTTATTGGATGACCCATTATACTGAAATGTCATCTTGTTGAGCTATTTTTCCTTAGCTTTTATTAATCAAATAATGCAATTTTTTTGTAGGAAAAAAGAAACAACTGTGCCCACCTCCACCTCAGATCCCTAATGCTCAGAACATGCGAACCACAGTGAATTATCAGGAAGGGGAAAAGGTCACTGTTCTCTGTAAAGAAAATTATGAATTTCTGGAAGCAAAAGAACTTGTGTGCAAAAGTGGACAATGGCAGTCATTACCACAATGTGTGGGTCAGTATTTGTTTCTAAAAAATGTTATTTAAAAAGAGGTTTCTGATCTTCGCTTTATCTAAAGAACAGGGAAAAAAAACTTATGCCATATTTATTAGACAATATTCTGAAGCATTAAATTGTCATCTAGTTACCCAATTCTGTCCATGTTTTAAACTGTTTCTCTAAGATGTATCTCCAACAGTGACCAGAGAAGAAACAGGTTTGAGACCTTCACTGGAAACTCAATTCTGTTCATTAGAATTACTCAATATCCAACGTTAAGATGTAGAGCGGGCAATCTGAGAGTGGTCAAGGCTAGGGTTTGAATTTGGTAATTGCTGCTGGAGAGATATGAAAGTTTTGGGATGGGCTGGGAACACATGAAGAGTTTACATACCTAAACAAGAGAGAAAGAGGCGGGCAAAGAGGAACAGCCAGACAAGAAGGCAGGAGATAAACTAGGGAAGGTTGCTAAGATAATTCCAGGACCCAATTGCAACGTGGGGGTGCTACCCCTCATTCTACAAGCAAGTGACCCACAATTTGACTCAGTTCTGACACTGTCTACCCAGAGACAGCCTCAGATCTCACAGGCTAAGGACTCAGTCTTACAAGACTGCTCCCTGTGGCCCTGGTTCAGATGCAAGTTGCATGTCCAGGTCGTCACCTGTGCTTCTGACCGACCAGGTATAGATGAAGTTTTCCATGACCCTCTCCTTGGGTTCTGTTGCTTTGCTGGAGCAGCTCACCACACTCAGAAGCAGTCTATTCACTAGATCACCATTGTATTACGAAGAAGACAACTCGGGAACAGCCAGAGGAAAGCGAGGCTCTGGACAGAGTGTGGGGGAGGGTGCAGAGCCACCATGCCCCCTCCAGGCATGGCTCTTCCCGCATCTTCCCACAGGAAGCCCTGTGGACCCTGTCTTTTGGGGGGTTATGGAAGCTTCAGCACATTGGCACCATTAATCAAATCCGTGGCCATGGGTGATGGATTTGATCTCCAGCTCCCCTGCCCTCCCTGCAGGTCAGGGTGGGACTGAAAGTTTCAGCCTTCTAATCACATGGTGGTTCTCCTGGCAACCAGCGCATCCTTGTGTTATCAAAGGGCTTTCCAAAAATCGCCTCACTGATGAGACAAAAGGCACCTGGATTGCTTTCCATCTTTAGGAGATTCCGAGGGTTTCCAGACCTCTGTGCAAGAAGCAGGAGTCAGACCAAGTGTTTGCTTCTTTTTAAAAATCACAACACCGCAGCTGGTGTCCCAGAAGCAATGCCAGTGGTATAAGCCAAAAAAAACCTTACTTTAAAATGTTATTTGATAGGACAGCAGGCATTTCAAAGACTGCTTAGGATTGGGCAAGATGCCTGAGAATTGAGCAGTGAGTTTAACAAGGAGCTCAGCCTGGTGCTCTGTGATGACCTAGAGCCATGGATTGGGGGGAGGGGAGGGGGCTCCGGAAGGAGAGGATATACGTATCATCATGGCTGATTTGTGTCGTCTGGCAGAAACCAGCGTAGCATTGTAAAGCAATTTTCTTCCAATTAAACGAAGTTAATAATAATAACTTAGGAGGAAGGGAAGTAAATGGAGATAGAGATTAAAAAAAAAACCAGTGGACTTAGCTACCTGAAAATCAGTGGTAACTTTGCTTTTACGTGATGAAGCTGTGACTTTTTCAGTGCGTTTCTAAGCTGGTTACTGATTCAGCAGAGGCGACATTGGTGACACAGCAGAAAGAGGACAATTCATGGGGCAGGGCCTTTGCTGGTGTAAAGGGTATAGAATCCAAAGTCCACATGAAGGAGGTGGTTTGAGAAAAGAGCAGGGACAACAAATGAAACAGGAGAGAGAACAAATTATTTGCGATCAGATGTCTGATTTGGTCACTCCATTATCTGTAGCTTTTGTGACCTTGTAGGGAGATCAGTCAGTACCATAGAACTTATTCTAGCCGATCTTAACATGAAGTTGAAACATGATGGACAGAGAAAGAGGCCTATGCTATTACTTGGAGTTAAAAAAGTAAATGCAGAGGCATATGTCTACAAGTCATTTCAGTAAAATTAAAAGTTCATGACCATAACTGTTAGCTACATGATGTTTGCATAACATTAACAGTTGCCCCAGAGAATTAAAATGGGAAGGGCGTTACTTATTTTTACCTTTACTCTGTAATTAAATGTTTTTATGGGGAAAGGTGAAATAGACCAGAGGTTTACTCACCAGTCCATCAGGTTTTAAGTAAAAACAGTTTTTAATACTTATATAACCTTATATATGGGCTTCTCGGTGGCTCAGCAGTAAAGAATCTGCCTGCGATGCAGGAGATATGGGTTCGGTCCCTGGGTCGGGAAGATCCCCTGGAGGGGGCCATAGCAACCCAGTCCAGTGTTCTTTCCTGGAGAATCCCATGGACAGAGGAGCCTAGTGGGCTCCATTGGGTCGCCAAGATTCCGACACGACTGTAGCGACTGAGCATGCATGCCCTTATATATACTTAATACCTATTTTTCGTGTGTTTTATTTTAGGGTGAAAGAAAGCATTATAGGTCTATTCTAGTTATCAGGTTACATGATAGAAATTTTATAATGAGCTATTTGGACTCTTGGACATCATGTAAATAAGATATTGAAGATATGATATATGGAACTTTACATTATTCCATTTATACTGTAATACTGATTTTTTTTTTAACACTTACATGTCATCTTCCAGAGTTTGCACAATATTGTGGGCCCCCTCCGCCTATTGACAATGGAGATATCACCTCCTCCCCCTTATCAGCATACTCTCCAGGGTCGGTGGTCCAGTACCGCTGCCAATCTTTCTATGAGCTCCGGGGAAACCTGACCGTGACGTGCAGAAATGGACAGTGGTCAGAACCACCCACATGCATTGGTGAGTTCTTCATATTCTCTCAGAGTCTGAAACTTGGACTAATTTTGTAAGATAATTTTTACTTAAATTTTACTTAGCTGAAAACTTGTCTAACAAGTGTAGGTATATAACAGAACATTTTTTTTTTTTTAATCTGCTTTAAAACAGAGTGGGAAAAAGTTTCTTTAAAAATGATAAATCAGGACTTCCCAGTAGTACGGTGGATAAGAACGTGCCTGCTGATGCAGGGCACATGGGTTTGCTCCCTGATCCAGGGAGATTCCACATGTTGAGCAACAGCTGAAGCCCCCTAGGCTCCAACTTCAGAGGCCCTGTTCCTCAGCGAGAGAAGCCCCCGCGATGAGAAGCCCGTGCAAGGCGGCGGGAGGGCAGCCCCCCGCTACTCTCTGCAGCCAGAGATGAGCCCGCGCAGCAACGAGACCCAGGGCAGCCAAAAATAGATACATTAAAAACAAAACAAAAACGGTGGTAGAAACACACTTTAAAGAGACCCCAATACGCGGTGCATTGTGAAACTCCGTGAATATCCCAAGTCATTTAACCACAGGTATACTCTTACACCACAAAGTATTTTCATGTTACAGACATCTGAGGGTTTTTTCGGGAGACCATTTGTGAAATGTTGGTCCGGGAGCTGTTCTTTATCAGTACGCAAAATTCTACTTGTAAACCTGAAGGCTTTTCCTGGAAGAACTCTGCAGACCGCTGCTCACATGGATTTTTACTCCCACGTGGCTGGGAGTTCTAGCAGGGAAATAGAAAAATGGGCAAGGTTAGCAGGTCGCCTCCCAAATCTGCACTATTTCTTCTTCTTCTTCTTTTAATGGTTATTTGGCTGCGTCAGGTCTTCGTTGGCACGAGTTCCCTAGCTGTGGCACTCTGGCTCAGCGGCTGTGATATGCCAGATTATTTATTTGCTCTGGAGCGTGTGGGATCTTAGTCCCCCAACCAGGGATCAAACTTGTGCCGCTGCAGTGAAAGTGTGCAGTCAACCACTCGACCATCAGGGAAGTCCCTCTGACTCTCTTAAAGAAATTATAAAGTAGGGCAAACTCTTTGAAGAGCAGTTTGGGAATAAACCTCAGATTTTAAAAACACACATCCTGTGACCTCATTACTTTATTTCTGGAAGACTAATCTATACACACACTCTTGCAACTGTAAAAGAATCTGTACAAGGATACTCACAGCCACATTGTCTAG